CTATATACATATCCTATATTGGATATTAACATCCAATAGTGTAAATCGCGGCAGCAGCTTCAGGTTGGTAGTCCAAGGCATTGTTGTCTATCTGTACTTCCGGGGTTCTTCCCACCGGAGCCTCGCTTTCGATTTCAATATGGCGGCTGCGTGAAATCGGCGTATAGATTAGGTCAGCCAGAACCGGGAACACTTTCCATGAATCCTGATGTACTCGTTACATCATAAGAAGTTTAGTTTATCCACGTCTCTCTGTTTATCCCGAGGTTTACCGCAGTCCCCCGGATCCAGGCCGTATCCAGATCTGATAAAGGACCTGCGCCTGGACGCAATGACAACGCAGTCCTGAAGTATCAACTAGTCCCTCCCCTGTGAAGGCCTCCCTCCCATCCCTTACCTCTCTACAGATAAAGCGTTGTCGGGATAATTCTGGTTCACGTGGCTACGCCGAAGCGATAAAAAATCTGTATTATAGATTAAGGGAAGGCGCACATATTATCAAACACGCATACCTATAGAATTAACTCTTAATACGCATGTGCACGCCATCAGCGTTCTCACAGGTTCGTGTATTTAAAGTTTGCATAGAGAGAACCTAAGAGTTTTCTGTTAAAAACGGTGTCGTGTTAGCGGCCCCGAAGTTAATAGTTGCAACGGAAGTGAATCAATCAAAACTAACCTGGAAAATAACTTTATTCTAGAGCTGCTATACCTGACACCTTTGTTACGTTATGTTACATTATGTTACGTTATGTTAAGGGGCTTCCGAAGTTCCCCTCACCGTTATCCTGAGTCACCCCAGCTACCCGGCACAGTGGACCTCTCCTGGCACCTGTGATCAGGGGTGAGGGGACTCCACCTCTCTTGAGGTATTGGAGTCTAGATCTCAACACCGTGATGGACATGTTCCCGCTGTGAGAACATGTCTCATTCACGAACGCAGCCTCAGCGTGCTTAATGCCCAGGCACGTGAGGCAACGATCGTGACCATCAGCCGACCACATCCAGAAACACACGGCTTGAAATCTGACAACTTGAAAAGATGATCTCAACCGTGCAAGCTCTTTTAGGAAAAACGCCCTTTGGTGCTGAAGCGCAGAGGGGAATGCCACCTCAGAACAGACAGGGATTTAGTGCAGCCCTGATTTATGCAGCTCACAGAGATGTGACAACACAACCAGAGCCTGTTACAGCCTGGTGTGTAGATTCTTCCTGTGACTGTTCTTTCACAAATAAACTGTTCAGAAGCAGGAACAACAAACGCTCTGCTCTGAAGCAAAAAGCTAAAGATTGCACCTGCTACTCATTATATACCCACACTGAGTGGCAGAGCAGCTGCTGCAAATAATTGCATGCCAATGTCCATTGGTCCATTTAGTTATTGAATTGAAATCTTTATTTCGAACATGGAAGAGAAAGTATATAAAAAAATAAAACAATGTTTAAAAACATAGGAGAAGAAAACAACAGATGAGTAGCAAACAAAGTACCCTTCTTTCCTGTTAACATACTTCTATTACATGTGCGAAAAGGAGTAGGAAGAAGTAAAACTTATGTAGGCCTACTCCTACCCCTTTAATTCTAACGTTCCTTCAATTAACAATTTGTATATTATTATTATTATGTTGTACATATATACATATACTGTATATGTATATATATATATATATATATGTATTAGGGGTTTAAATCGGAGCCTTAATGACGATTCGATACGATACCGATTTCTTAAGCCAACGATTCGATTATTTTCGATACTTCAGAATTTCCCGCGATACGATTCGATACGATTCAATACTAGATATTTTTACATGATATATCTATTAAGTTTCAAATAAATCAACAACAAAAAAAAAATTGCCTTTTATTGAGAATACAGAAACCGTAGTGTTTCTGTATTCTCAATAAAAGGCAAAAAAAATTTGTTGTTGTTGACGAGAGGTCGGCTAATGTGTGTAAAAGTAAAAAAAAATACAGTAATTTCATTAATTTACCAGCGAGCGTACTTCGGAAGCACTGAAAATGAATGGGGTTTAATGGAGAAACTATCAGTGTTTGAACTATTGGCTGCTCCACGACACGCGTTACTTCCGCATTCCAAAGTTCCTATGGCGGTCTATGGGAGTGTTGCAACTCTTTCTCTCTATGGCTCTGGGTTGTACGTATGTCGGAGCGGATGCTGAAAATAGACAGGCGAACAGACAGGCGGCAAAATAAACACATTAATCGATACTCTTGCGGACGCATCAATGCATCGAATCGTTGGCTGTATAATCGATGGATCGATACGAATCGATTAATATTTACACCCCTAATATATATAGCCTACACATATCAAAGTGACCACTGACAAGTATTTATTTATTTAACCTCGATTATGTAGCTATTCAAGCAGCAAAAAAATTCAACCAAAAATAACAACAACAACAAAACAAAAAAACATAAACAAGGTTACACTCAAAGTAGATTGGCTCTCTACGCAGATTCATATTCGTCGGTCCAGTTACGTCGAGAGACAGACTGAAAAGGAACAAGAGAACAATTGAACTCACCTCAATTTGAATGAAGTTCTGAATGTTATTTATGAGAGGTGTGGTGTTAGCAGAGTCATTTTGGATGATACTGAACTTCTCAATCTGTTCCTGCGCTGACATCCCTGTTTTTCCAGTCACACTGTAGGCAAAAATATATATATAAAATAAATAATTAAGGCGGGCGTACACGTTGCGAGTTTGTACACTCGGGAGGTCGTGAGATATTGCAAACATTACGAGTCAGTTAACTTGATAATATCGTCAAAGCAGCTGGTGCACGGCACGACTGTCCTGCACAAATTTTATTACGAGCCGGCGGCAATCACGTGAGCTTTCGCACTAAACACAGAGACCGGAGCTTTCAACGTTGCAGGCATCTATAGCTTCAGGTCAGATAGAAAAATGTTCCGAAAATGAACGAAAGTCTTACGGGGTTGGAACAACATGAGGGTAATTACTGACAGAATTTTCATTTTGGGGTGAACTATCCCTTTGATAATTTGTAAACAAAATGCCAACAATATAATTAACAGCAATGCTAATTAAACGTACTTAAAAAGATAAAATTAACTTCATCATGCTAATGCCCTAAAAATCAACAAAAAGCATTGTAAAAAGTTTTCATTAGATTTTATTCTAAGACTAGAAATTGAATAATGAAACCAAACTTACGGAAATATCTTATTGAAATCTTTATCAATCCATTCATGCAAATGTCCGGCCAATGTCTTGTTCAGGTCAAAAACTTTAGCCCAATTTTTCGACCGATAGCATCCATAGTTCTTGCACAAAGTTCCAAGGATTCTATGGAACCCACTTCCATCTCTATTCTGAGTAAAAAAAAAAAAAAAATGTTAAAAGGACAAGAAAATAGTGATTATGCAAAACATATTAATCAAACTCACTGCTATCATTTGCTTTGTGGAATCAACACATGATGTCACTGATTCTCCCACTCCCTTTGTGAGACACTGGTCCAAATCACTATAAATGCCGTCAAAATATTTGCCCAGTTCATTTAGTGACGTCACTAGGTTCTTCTCAAATTCCATGACTTTCATTTTCATCTAAAACACATCCATACAAGAGCAGTGAATCACAGAATAATACATATTGGCAGGATTCTAAATACACTCTAATTCTAGTCATTCTAATTCTGAATTGTACCATTTTCTTGTCTGCATCTAGCTGGTCCCTTTGGATTAAGAGCAAAGTTCCCTTTGCTTCACTGACATAATCTCTGACCAGTTCTTTATGAATGCTCTTGTTAAGACTCCTCAGTTCATCCTGCAGCTTAGGGATTTCTAGAAAAAAAGACAATGATGTGATTTGGACTCATTTGGTCAGTGCTTTATATCACTTAATAAAGTATTTTAACTTCAGATTAATAAAAAAAACACACAAGCAACAGTTTGACATGATTATTTTTGGTCATGAATAAAGTGGTAAAATGAAAGCAATAGACAGAAGATAGTTTACCTGTTTCACTAGATTCCAGATTTAAACTGGGATCAAAGAATGCATTGGAACTTACAGTTAAAACTTTAAACTGATTGTCAGTACTGAATATTTTCTAAAAAGAAAAAAGTAAAGCAATATTAATAAAATTACAAGAAAACCATATACATCGTGTATATCTAGTTTTTTAAAGTAATGTAACAATAAAAAAAATAGTTAAAGTAGTACCTGAAGTTTAGATTTTTCAAACTTTTCTTTGACCTTCATCTTGGCATGTTCATTTCTATGAAGTATGCATTCTTTTTTCTCATCCTAAATGATTAACAAAGCACGCACACATAAGCTGTACACAGGTTTATAGTAAAATCTGATTCAGTGGTTGATTGTGTACTATCTCTTTTTCCTCTCAGTAAATTATTACATTCATGAAATTGCAGTCATAATGATATAAGTTCTCACCGACAAAAAACCAGCAGATTTACTCAGAACCAGCAGTACAAGCTTACAACTAATCTATTAAAACAAAGGAGCAATACTTCACAAATACAGCTAGTACATTTCTGTGCATTTTGCACACCTTGTCTTCTGGGATTCGAAGCCGTGTACATCTAAAAAGAAATATTTAAATAAAAGATGCAAGATTATTAGATTTAGACAAGAATTATAGCACTTCCCAGCCATTTACTACCTATATGTAATATTCACAAAATACCTCATATAGGCTACTGGATCGATCTCATCAGTCTTTGTACAGATGAAGTTGATGCTTTTGCATTCTCCTCCTGGTCCCAGTTCTTCAGTACAGTGCTTTACCATCCCCCAAGGGCCACTGTCAGTGCTTGCTCGATTAATAGCACTTACAATCCACACAGAAGAGCACTCTGTCAGTTTCTACAGGATTTCAAATATAACCGCGAATTAGGGGACTTGTTCTTAGTATTATAATATATTAATTGTGTGGTTAATCTGGCAACTGGTCTTTTTAAAGGAGCATAGTAATATATTTACAGATTTCCACAGATCATCTCTAATCTTGTTGCAGTCTCCAGATCCTGGAATATCAACAAGCACAATGTGCTCCAGAAGTTCACGACAATCTGGAATCTTGATCGTCACACTCTTCACAAGCGGCCAGTACCAGTCACCGAAACTTGACTCGCTGTGTTGTATGTAACTTGCAAGATCATTGATAAATTCAGAGACCTGTTGAGATAATAAATTGGTTTGTTTTACTTGGCTGTAAAGCAAATTAAGAATGCATTATACTGTACATTTAATATGTTAAATATTAAACAGTCTCCTAAAACTTACATTACTTTTTGAGAAACTGCATCTTTCCTTATTAGTGAACCTTTCAATCTCAGCAAATTTGTCATCATTCTGGAGCTCTTCTAATGTTTTCCTGTCTGCATCAGCTCCATACAGTGCAGTGATCTTTTCTACAGCAATTTCAAACAAGTCATCATTCCTGTCCTCACTTTCACCTGACAAAACTCTGAAAAGATCTTCGAGCTCTTTCTTCCACTCCTGCAGAGGCACACAAAACACAATATAGTGAAAAATATGGCATTGTTCCATTCCCTACAGTCGGATTATTTACATATGTATAAAGAACTCTGATTAAAAGCATAGTCAGATGAATACAAATGAGGATACCTCTTTAGAGAAGAGTTCAATCTCTGCTGTGTAGTTGGAGTCAGTCAGATTGGCTTCCACCTGAGTAACAACGGCTGTACAGGCACCAAAACAACCAGATGGCAGTAGATACTTTATCCCCAATATTGCACTTAATAGGGAGCTCTTCCCTTCTCCTGATGTTCCAAAAATCCCAATGGTTGCCTTCTTCCTGCTGCCTTTATCTATTTGATCTACGTTTTTGGGAAATTTATTCATAATTTGCCTCGCCTTCTCCATGATCTCATCTGTGTGAAACAAAGAAGACAAAGAGCAGCCGTGTTTCTGCTTTAATAACATTTATGTACGCAACATAAGTGACAGATGTTTAATCATATTGTTTTATATTGTTTACATGTTTTACTAGTGCTTCTAATATATATTGTTCAGTCAAGTGGCATTTACAGCACAGGTGCTTGACTCAAAATGTTAAATATGATGTTCCCTTTCAAAGGAACTCGTGCTGTGTCGAGTGATGCTGTGGGAAGGCTCTGCGTGATAACGTATTGAAGCACATGTGAAATCAATCCAATGGTGTGGCAAACGTCAGAGACGAGTGATGTCACAAAGTAAGCTTGCCCAAATAAAGCAGCATTAGGTTGTCTCTTCAGTAAGCGGCCTCTGTGAAATTGTTTGTCATATTTGGTTTTGTCGGTCTACCTCCATTATAAGAATGGCGAGCAAGCAGCAGTTCAGACTGTGTGTTCATCCTTGCCCACCTTACATCACGGGTGGGGTTGCACACAATCTTTTTTCCCTTTCAAGGGACCTCGAGCTGCGTCAAAACACTGTGGGAACGCCTGGGTGATTGCGTCATGAAGCACATGTGCTGGGCAACGATAAAAAAATTTAATTGCGGTTAATCGCATGAATTTATTGCGATTAATCGCGATTAATCGCATTGTTACGCGCAAGAGTGAATAATGAATTCTAAAGTAGTGTATTGCGCACTTTTGATTTAAATGTACTGCTATATACACAAAAGTGCAATAACATGTGGTTTGACAAAACTTTAAATAAATAAGCTGCTTTATACCAGCAGTATTCCCTTTACACAGTAGCAATAAAATATTTATTGTAAATCTCAACTTAAACATTAATGTAATCAAATCAAATATTAAAACAAAGCTATGCCACTGCCAGGGCATTACCTTGTATCTAGCTTGTTAAAACGAGTCCAGTTTTCTTGTTTTTTTTCTGAACAGGTATCAACAGGTATCTTTTATCAGGGAGCAACAGAAACAGTCTATGTAGTCAGAGGTCATGACCACTACTACAGATATAAGTCGACCAACGTTACTTCTCTGATAGTAGCTTAGGTTTGGTCATGACATGGTTTCCCATGTACACTAGATTACATTAAACAGATGTAAAGCCCAATTTATACTTCTGCGTCGAACTCACGGCGTAGCTACGTACCTTTCTGTGAGTGCTGTCTTAAACTGTGCAAAGATATGTATTTTTTGTTATTAAATAACTCTCCGGGAATTAAGACCGCTGGCCCTGGGCTTTGTTGGGCTTGTTTTGCTTCTTATTGATGGTATGGATTTCCATTATACTTCATTGCAACTGTATGGGCCCTATTTTAACGATCTGAAACGCAAGTATCAAACGCGAAACGCAAGTAAGTACCGGCAGGATAAATTACTCTTGCGCCCGACGCAAATCTAAAATGGCTTGGTCTGACGTATCTACATTACTCATAGGTGTGGTTTGGGCATAACGTGCAATAAACCAATCAGAGCGTCTTCTCACATACCCTTTAAGAGCAGGCGCGCTTGTTCCATGGCGGATTGCTATTATAATGGCGGATTTGCAAGGCGCACGCCAGGAGTGGTTCACAGCCGAGGAGACAGACGTTCTCGTCAGGGCCGTAAAACACAGAGAAGTGACATTATATGGGGATGGGAGAAACCCACCCAAATTAGCTTCGGTTAAACAGGCTTATAATAATTTGGGTAAATGTGTAAGCTAGATTTATGCCTATTTTTTCACATCTTCATGGACACCACAATGATTTCCCTCGTGTGTTAATATTTTTCCTTGTAATAATCATAGACAGTAAAAGAAATGGACACAGCGACCCCATAGACTTCAACGGAGAAAAGTGAAGTCAATTAGAAGCACTCACTTCCTGATGGCTGAGCGCACTGCGCAGGCTCAAACTGAGCTTGACGACGTAGATGTGACGTGAGCAACCTGTCTGACAGTACTGCCCTACAAAGGCAAAAGACCTTAACTTGCTAGAGTGTGGAACTGAGAAAAATGACTTTAAAGATTTTTAGTTGTCCCGCTAAATTAATTATAGGTAGGACACTGAAAATCTGGCAATTAGATGTTTAAGTAATGGAAATTATCTACATGACAAAATTTTGAGCTCAAACTTGAGTTTTGACCACTATTTTAAAGTAACTGTATTCTGCCTTTGTATTGTCAGCAAAAAGTGAGAAGTCATGCCAAGGCAAAAGGCAGTAACTTCCACATTATCAATATTTGGTTACTGATCACCATTAACAAAATCATTATAGTAACACCTGTATAAAATCTAGTGACCGTGGCATTTATTTTGTATGATTTAAAATTACCTAGCCTTCTAGTTATTGTGCTTTGGTTGCATTCTGGTGGCCTTATTAATACATTAGACATGACAAAATACCTCCATAGCGGTAAAGACTAAAGAGTATCTTCAAGTGGAGTGGCATAAGACTTGCTTAACACGTATTATAATGTAATGTAATGATCACGATAAAACAGATCCTCGCGCATATTCGACCCCGAGACTGGTTTATAGCGGTGGATCTGAAAGACGCATACTTTCACAGGCGTTTACTGAGATTCGTGTTCGAAGGTGTCACGCTCCGTTCACGAAAAGTAGCCTAAGCAGTGCTTTACCCCTTAGGACTCAGTAGGGAGCGCGTTCTGGACTACTTAGACGACTAATGCATTTATAGCACAACCTTCTGTGTTCTGCGTCTTTTCAGTATGCGTTGGTTTCAGCTGTCTGCCCTATTATTGTGCGTGCACTTCGCTCGTCCCGCGGATTTATTCCGGACGCTGTGTTTTGTATGCATGCGTTTAACAGCTGTTCTGATTTTTTATGCACCAGCACTTCTTGCTTCATTATGTTGTATGCGCCAATATACCCTTGTTCCTTCATTATTATCACTCTGTGTGATATTAGTCCCGTGTCGGCTCGACCGTGTTCAGGGCGGAGCTGAAGGCGCCGGCGAAGTTTTGGCACTCTACCAGCTAGATGCATGATTGTTTCAACTGGTCCGGTACCCGAACTGGGTGAGGCGGGGCTTTAGTTGTTTGTTGTATTGACCTGATTCGGCATGTGTAACATTTTTCTGTCAACTCTGCATATATATCCTTCGCAATCGATATCGCACGTTTGTCGATGGAGCGGGTTAAGAGCATGCTAAATGTTCTGACTGCATTAGAGCAGGACAAAGCTCTGAGGACATCAAAAGTTACAGGGACGGATGGTAGCTGTACAAAATACACAGGCTACATCGTAATTTCAATTTTAATGGAGAGTAAAACAAAGGCAGAACACCGTATAATCTGATAGGTAGCATTATTTGATAGAACGCCAGCACCGTGACATCATATTGACGCGCGGCTAAACAAAGGCAGAGTGCCGTAACTCAATATGAGCGTTCCAAAACTAAGCCAAAGAGCCGTAACTGGTGTTACGGTGTTCTGCCTTGGTTTCTCATGGGCTTTTGGAAGTTACAGTTAAGACAAATCATTATTTTCTCGAAAAAACAACGGAATTGACTCAAGATACTTATCCACATGATAAAGGAGGTCTTAATTGTGCCAAAAATATCAATAACTCATTTTCGACCAAAAACGAAGTTACGGTCTTTTGCTTTTGCACGGCAGAGTTGTAAGTCTTCTAGTAGCTGTGCCAAGAGGAATCTGAATCATTCCCTTCCGAATCTTGCAGAGACGGAGAGCGTGAGTAGGAGCTGTCCATGAGCTAGCAACAGAAGCAACTTTATGACTCTCTATGGGCTTCTCCCTTGACCTTATCGGATGTTATGCCTCCACGTCCACCCGATTGCCCGCGAGCTTCTCCTCCTGTCTATACGGTAATTTCTCTACTGTGCGACAGAGAGTCGCATGGTTATGACGCAATCGTTAGCCTATTTTTACAAAAACTGCTTCTACGGGGCCATAACGTAAGATACAAGGTAATGGAGCTGGAGCCTTTTATACATTGTCGTGTTTCTTTAGAAATAAACAATGGGCAAATAGAGTCTTTAAACTGAGTCTTTAAACAGGTGCAAGATACAGGTAGGGCCCTATAACCTAAATCATCCTTCCCGACTGAAAACCTCTACATTTGATTGGTGTACTAGATTAAATGTTGACTTGCCAGCCGAGAAGCAGGACGTTAAGAACGCATACTTTCACATTTCCATCCTTTCACATCACAGGAAGTTTCTGAGGTTTGCTTTCGGAGGCTAAGCATGCCAATATCAAGTTCTTCCCTTTGTTCTAGCTTTATCACGCACTTTAACAAACTGCGTGGATGCAGCTTTAGCGCCACTGCGCCTTCAGGGTATTCGCATCATGAACTACATCGACAATTGGTTGAGTTTGGTTGATTGGCTGAGGCCCGGGGAATAGAGGCTCCACCCCGAGGTGGTAAAGAAAAATGGAGGGTGTTCGACCAGGCCCAAGTGGATCTGTTTGCGTCTCGAGAGACGTCTCACTGTCCACTCCCATTCTCCCTCACGCATCCAGCTCCTCTTGGACTCGATGCCATGGTACAGACGTGGTTGAGGCTGCATCTGTACGCCTTTCCCCCAATCACTCTGCTCCCGGGGGCTCTAGAGAGTGTTCATCTGCTTTTGATGGCCCCTTTAGTGGCCGGGGCCAGCTCATAGACTCTGGTCTCTTAAATGAGGTTGTTGGGATCATACTTCACTCCAGAGCTCCCTCCACGGAGAAACTGTACACCTTGAAGTGGAGAATGTTCACTTCTTGGTGCAGTGATCGTCAGCTGGACCCAGTTAACTGCTCTTTTGGTAAAGTGCTGGAGTTCCTGCAAGAGTTTTTCACTGCAGGACTATCCCTGTCTACTTTAAAGGTTTATTCCTAAGGAATGTTTCTTCTGTCCTCCTCCCTTTCATGATCCAGAAAAGAATAAATTGCTGTGTCCAGTTAGGGCACTGGATGGTTATGTCCACAGAGCTGCCCTGTGGTGTAAATCGTAACAACTGTTCATATGTTTTGGACCCTCTAACAAAGGGTTCCCAGCATCAAAGCAGATAATGAGCAATTGGGTAGTTGAGGCTATCTCACTCGCTTATGAGTAGGTCAGTATAGAGTCAGAGTATGGCGGCCTCTAAATCTCTTGTGTCAGTAGTTTCTCATCACAACATTTGTTTCCACAGCGTCAATCGACTATAACCTCGGTTCCTTGAAGAAGGAACAAGAAGTTGCGTCGCCCTGCCATAATCCTACATGCCTGTCAGCGACTTACTTCAGCCTATCACAAGCTAGCGCTGCTTTGTTAGGGCAGGCTTTATAGTTTCCTGGTTTATATCGTCAACCGCCTCAGACGTTCTGCCACACCATTGGACTGATTTCACATGTGCTTCAAGACTTAATCACGCAGAGCGTTCCCACAGCTTTAATCAACTTTTATTCCTATTCCCTCTTCAGGGAATCGAGGTTACATGCTTCCCTGTTCTGTGTTGGTGTGGGTTTCCTCCGGGCACTCCGGTTTCACCCACAATCAAAATAATTGCAGGACAGGTGAATTGGAGACTCTAAATTGTCTGTCTGTGTGAATTATCCCTGTGATGGACTGGCCATCTGTCCAGGGTGTTTCTTTGACTACGGCCTGAGATGCTGGGATAGGCTCCAGCATCCCTGTGATACACAGTTTGAACACACAGTTAGGACAAACAGTTTGGATGAATGATGGATGAATGAATGTGATACATGTATGACTATTAGGCAACCAAGTGATTAGTTACAAGTGGCAGGTAAGAGGATGGGTTCAGGTTTTACTTGCCTGTTGTCAGCGGTGACTCTATACTCAAGTCGGATGATTTATGATCACGCTTTCTTTTAGTACCTATCAGAGAATTCATTCCACTCATTATTATTATTTCCCTCAATCAAAGACTGTACAAGGATATTTAATTTTTATACCTTGGCTAGTCATTGTGGGATGGATGGAAAGTAGAACATACATTCTTTATAAAGATCTATTGTTTTTTCTAACCAACCAATTTTTTTCAACTATTTAGTTCTAATTACAACTAATAATTATATTTGTTATAATTTATATATTTGCTCACCATCAGAGGAAGATGAAGATTGTGATGGTACAGGAAGAAGTGGAGGTGTATTCTTCTTCATCCCATGAAATGTTTCCATCTCTTCTTTCAGTGGTCCAGAAATGGCTGATCTACTAATTATAGTAAATAAATAAAAAAATAAAATAAAATCATTAATTATAAAATGTACAGCTTTACTAATTACGATGTCCTCCAAATATGTATATAACTACTGTCCCAAATCAACAGATACTGCATATTGTATTTCCATAAGTTAATTCAATTAAGTCACCTTTTTTCGATAGTGCTTAATACAATACAGATTGTCAAAGCAGCTTCACAGAGATCAACAGGAAAATAGTAGACCCAATTATGTAAACTAAAAAATATACATATATATATATATTTATTTTATTTTTTGCTAACTGGTTGATAGTAGTTATAGCCTAAATGGCTCATGGTGCAATGAATGAGCCTCTTTAATAATCGAGTTGGGAACATTTCTCTGCTCCAGCTCACCACTTTTGTTCCTGAGCAAAACACAAGAACTGTGAGTCACTTTGGAATGACAGTATCTCCTAATCTTCATCAAAGTATGTTTAAAGCATATTATGTATATGGGGAAAGTCAGAATTTAGGAAGGATTTTAACTCATGTGCTCAGAGTACTTCAGGTTTCTTTGTCCAAATGCCCATGCCCTTTTATTCATTATCCTCACCTTACATCAACTTCCATTGATTCATCTTCTTCAGAGATTTTAGACTCATATTCACTCTCTTGATACACCTTACTCCCATCATCCATTTCATCTGCTTTAGAGCAGTTTTCTTCTGATTCTTTGTCCCAGTCCTCATCCTTAGCATAAATTCCTAGGCAGTTTAATTTTAGCAGTTCACCATTTCCTTTGGATAATATCTCTATTTCATATACTTCAGTAGTATTGTTCTCCACAGTAGCTTTGACCATTTCTAGGTCCTCGGGTTGAAAGCAAACTATCACACTTTGTTTGAAAATGAAAACCCCAGACTTTTCTAAATGTCCAAATAACTGTGAGGCATAGCTTTTTAGAGCCAACATTATGAGTCCTGGGGTCAAAGGGCAGCCCTGATGTAGCAGTTTGTATTTCTCAACTGAAAAATGTTCTTTTGCATCACTGAGGAGATTTTCTATAATGAGAAGATCCTGGCTCAGAGTCGGGTTTGACCGTTTTTGCTGTTCTAGCTCATCCTTAATATGGCTCAAACTTATTAAAGCATGATGTGTTTTGGGAGTGATCATGACAGCAGCTGACTCTCTTTGTATCCGCCCCTTTGGAAGGGACTCAATGACATCATCTAGGCGTCTTGCTAGAATAGTTGCAATGATGAGGTAGTCGACATTAAAAAAGTGTTGACTATCATCATGTGGACTCTTCACAGTTTCATTAAAGTGTGTCTCAGAGCAGTTAAACGCACCGCTGTGGATTCTGTCATAGAGCATCTTTATGTATAAAATTAGATCCTGAATTTTGTCTTTATAGGAGGATGCTGGGGTGCCATCTGGTCTTGGTGTGTCTGACACTTGAAGAGATTGTACAGCTGACACAATGTCAACCTCACTGACTGCATTTGAGCTCTCTTCACCCAGTGATGAACCAGTCTCATCTGTCAAAAGATCCTTTTTTAGATTCAGCCATTGGAAGATTGTTTGTACCTGTGGATCTTTCTGAATAGGCATCGCAGGGATGTTGATCTCTAAAGAAACAGGCCGGTGGTCTTTGTTTTCACTTTTCCCTGAGTCTCTTATTTCACAAACTCCGACAAGCCACATACATTCTTCTGGAACAAAGAAGTAATCCAGCCTGGACACAGGAGAGTCTTTAATGTAGAACGTATAATCTTGCTTTATGGGGTTCTTTCTTCTCCAGACATCAACCAGCTGAAGAGATTTCATGAACTTCTCTACAAATAACAGCAGTTTACTATGAGAACTGTTGATTGTCAAATTGTTCCATTTTTTGTCAATAAATCTATTGAGAACTGTGTTGAAATCTCCACCAATCACCAGCAGCCCTGTGGTCATTGACTGCAGGTACCTTGAAAGTTTATCAAGGGTTTTTGTGTCTGTGTGATGATTATAAACACTAACAAGAGTGTACGGCTGACCTTTCAGTTTACATTTCAACACAACATAAGCTCCACTGTTATCTTTTTCATCACTTATGTATTTGAAATCTAGTGTTTTCCTCACTAGTATGGCTGATCCCTTGCTGGAAGAGGTAAACTTTGTGTAGAAAATATGCCACTCATCTTTAAAGTCTTCTACAATATTTTCATCTCCTCCTCCAATGTGCGTCTCTTGAAATAAAATAACATCCACGTTTTGTAGTTCTTGAAATTTCTGATCTCTGTGTCGCTTAAGTCCATTTACATTCCAAGTAATGAAGTTTATGGTATTTGAAGCCATTGATAGATCTGCTCTCACAGACCAAAAATCCTCAGCTCAGTAAGTTCCCTGTCAAAACAAAAAGTAGAGGGTAGGAACATTTTGTTTCATATTTTAATTTAATTACTGAGATTTTCATGGTAGACATTTTATCCAAATTGATTTCAATGCTTTGCATTCAAAGTTGACATTTTTATCAGGTCATGCATTCCCTGGGAACTCATGACCTTGGCTGCAAGTATCATGCCCAGTTTTATTTTCCTCTCCTTTCGGTTCTAAACATTGTGGTGTCCACAAATATTACTTTCTTGTTGTATTCTTAATTTCATTGCTTGGTTTGGCAGCAGTGTTGTGTTAGATGTGATACCACGTATCTGTACCTCCCCCAAATGCCACTTCCTGCTTAACAAGTTTCGATTCTTACAGTGCAGAGTATGCATAATATCAATAAACCTGTAACGCTGTGGTGTACTCAGGAACAGGCTGAAGACTCAGAAGGTGAAATCCAAACAACACTTTAATAGTAACAATAGTAATACTAATTTACTAGTAATAGTAAAATCACAAAGTGTTTACAAAGTGCAACCAAAATAATAAAACAATATAAAATCAAAAATTTAAAAAAAATTAAAAGCCCAAAATAGAATTTAGTAGACTAAAAGCTTGTTTAAATAACAGTGTCTTGAGTTTCCTTGAAAAAAAAAGAATCGACAGAGTCGGCCACACGGAGGGACAGGGTCTCCAAAAAATCTGTATCTTTTAACACAGAACGTTGGCACAACAACCTTCTAAAAACGTTTTAACAACATTGCCAAAAGGTTGCTATAACTACATTGTGTGGTGAAGGTTGTTACAGCGTTGTCACAGTGTTGACATTGAACCACCGTTCAGGGCCATTACTTAAAGAGACTATAAGAAACTTTTTAGGTAATTTATCATCTAAAATCAATATTTTTATTCATAAATATGTCCCCAATGGTGCAAATACCTCTGCCAATTATCTGATTTATCCTTGTAAACGAAGAATTTATTATATTTATTTACATGGGACGGGTAAGTCCACGGAGGCTTCCATGTAGTTCCGCCATCTTGAAAAACTATAATAGCAGAGAGGGACAAAAAGTACGCCAACGCGTTTTGTTCAGAGCCACCGTGACCTAACTGAAAGCAGCAGAAACGGAGGAGCAGAGCAGTGAGAGGCGCTTGTCACTTTTATTTTTAATGGCGGACCATACCTATGCCGAGCCACTGGATAAGAAATCCTCTTCGCCAAAACAGACCAAAAATGATCGTAAAAGGAAACGTGACCGGAGGATACAAAAAACAAGAGTGAAAAAGAGCTTTCCGGTGGAAAGAGCTAATGCAGGAGAAAGAATTCAAAAGAGACGCTGAAGTTGCCTGATTTCTCCTCGACAGGTAAGTCAATGTTACAGTCTTAATTGCAAGCTTTTTTTTAATTGCTTGGTTGTTTACTTTATTATATAGACAGAAGAACATTTACAGTTAAAAGTTAAACAGGCTCTTTATGAATAGCAGCTATAGAGTAAAGTAGAAAAGGCGCTAAAAAAAGTTTGTAAGTTTAAATTCGATACAAATATATTTTAATAGATATGTTATATGATTGTTCTTGCATTGTTTGCATAGCTAAGTCTACTTCAATTTTTATGTTATCTGATATTTTCTGTTATTTATCATTTATACTGTGACCTCACATTGAATAATACAAATAATACAAACATTCGTTTGTTCGTTGTGTCAATTTGAAGTTTGTTTGAAATAACAAACCTGTTCACCCGAAGGAAAACTCGACGAAGTGCTATTAGAAGACATCCTGTCATAGCTTTTTGGTACATAACGGCTACCGTAGATGCAACACACATTTGAAAACGTGAGGCGCTGGAGAGCACAATTCGTTTGAATGCAAAATACAATTTCACCGCTATAGATGGGAGTAATTCTTACTTAATGTCCCTTTAAAGGATTAGTTCACCTCAAAATGAAAATTTCCTTATAATTTACTCACCCCAATGCCTTCCAAGATGTTTTTCTCCACACAATGGACTTCAACGGTAACCATTGTTGAAGTCCAAATCAATACAGTTTCAAAGGGCTTTGAAGAGCTTCAAAGGGCTCTGCACGATCCCAGCTGAGGAATAGGGTCTTATCGAGCGAAACGATTGATCATTTTCAAAAAAAAAAAAATGTATATACTTTTTAACCACAATTGTTCGTCTTGCGCTGGTCTGCGACGCGCCAGGCATAACGTAATCACGTTGGAAAGGTCACGCTGGACGTAGACTGAGGTACAGTTGCCCTGAGGTTGCCCTGAAGCGCGAAAATCTTCAACTGACCGTTAGGCCGTCTCATTCTTCATCGAGCAAGGACACGTGAGAATTGCGTTTAATTTACCTCAGCTAAATAAGATATGTAATTCTTCAAACAACCTACAACTTCCTTGTCTTATATGACATTTATTTGAACATCTTCTGGTCAGGTATGACAAATATTTAACTGTATGCCAAAAGTATGAAGCCAAAATGACTTTAATGATGAGTAATTGATTTCAGCACACCTTGAACGGGCAGCGACTTAAAGGACAAGTTCGGTATTATACACTTAAAGCCCTGTTTTAAGATCGTTTTTGATGAAATAGAACGGTTAAGATTGAAATTTGGACACATGCTGCTGGCCCGAGAATTTTCGGTTTCTGTGGTAGCACCAAATTTCAATCTTAACCATTCTATTTCATCAGAAACGATCTTAACAGGGCTTTAAGTGTAAAATACCGAACTTGTCCTTTAGGCGCGTAGCCTTCTTGTTGTTGTTTTTTTTGGGGGGGGGGGGGGGGGGGGGGGGGGGGAATGTAACTGCTCGCACACCTGTTTTCCTTTGTTTGTCGTCTCATTCGTTTCTTTGCTAGATTTTTTCATGCCTGCTCATGCTAGTTAACATTAGTCCACTCCCTGTATAATATGTTTGTTTTCTTTTCTGACAAATGTATGACTTTTGGAAGTGCAATAGGCTTTATGCACAGCTTCACAACTTCCTGAACTTCAGCCAGCCCTTTGTTTCCTGTCTGTCATTATTGGACAAACTGATTAATCCAGGTGTGCCTGATTATTGTTACTGATGCCAGGCACACCTGGATTAATCAGTTTGTCCAATAATGACAGACAGGAAACAAAGGGCTGGCTGAAGTTCAGGAAGTAGTGAAGCTGTGGCATAAAGCCAATTTGATTACCATTTGCAGTTTTAATAAAGTTGAATTAGCTAACCTTCTATGTCATTTTTACTCTCCAAAGTGTAGGCTTGCAGGTGTTGATTATGAAGTGTAAGCATAATGATGTTTGGGTAAAGTTTTGATGCACAAGAGTCACTGGTAGTAGTCTATTTTATTGTGTGCAACCTCTGCCATAGCAGAAATGCAACGTGGTGCCACAGACGTTGCCACAACGTTAATAGGCTTGTTTGAGATGCGCCTTGCCTCGCCTGAAATGTAGTCGAGAGTAGGCGGCTGCAGTGAGGGGAGGAGTGAAAAAAGCGCAGGCAAGCCGGACAGATCTCGCTTCTCGCACATGTTCTCGCAGTGGATCAGACACCTGTGAGATCAAAGGCGGATATCGCGGGATTCACGGGATTCACGCCCGTGCACGGTGTTGCTAATAAACTGGATGTAATTTAAGTTTTGTTGCTTTTATATGAAAATAAATATAATGAACAAGACACCCAAAGTACTTATTTAATTCCATTTTAAATAGGTGTTTTTTAAAGAATTTTTCTTTAATACAGACATGTGTTTTTATAATAAATAAATAAAAATTGCATCACATGTTGCACTGTCAGATAGTTTGGGAATATACACATAATTTATACACATAAAACATGATATCAGAGTTTTAAAATCAAACATTTTAAAAAAGAACAATACAACAGGTTGTTTAAACCAATAAGCATTAAGCTGTGTCGTCAGCAAGTCGTTTCCCATCGTGCTTTTGAGCAGCGCAGTCGGTGGAGAGCAACTGCGCGCGACTGCAGAATCCGACAGGTGCGCCTTGCGGTCGCGAGAGTTTTTTGACATACGTCGGCATGACATAAGAGCAAGGCGGACCGCTCTCGGACACATTTCTAACCGGCATGCATCTCGCGCTGATCACCGGTGATCGGTTCTGCGCAGATTTTGAGTAGGGGGAGGCTGCAGACCTGGAGCCGGCAGATATACGCCCCTGGCAGTTTTACGCCCCGGCAGTTTTACGACCCTGTTGTTCCTGATGCGTCCAGTAGAGGGATATACTGCGAAATAACATCATTAAATCGACGCTTAATAACCCGTCCATAGACTTGACAATTTTGTGTTTTTTGTTAATTTAAATATAAACGTTATAGTGTAGATCTTCACGGATTAAATTATCTGTTTAACAAAAAAACAAGGGGGGTAAACGGACATCAAAGAGATTGAATTAGGTTACACAAATGCAATATTACATTTTGTCAATATAAAAACATGTAAGGTTCTTTACAACAGACTCAATGATATTATTTGTTTTATAAACCTTTGAGTTTAAAGGTTCTGACATTTTCTTAAAGGAAGAAAAAAACGAACTTTATATCAGAGGAGAATATTCTAGAATCAGGATTACTTTGAATGGTTCTGTCTTTATGAAGATGAAACTTGCCCAGAAGACAAAGTAATAATACCGTATAAGCAAGTTTAACATCGTTAGAATTAAAATCTGACAAAAATAGATTCTGTCATTTGTATGTTAAATAATCTGCTAAAGTTATTGTTTTTTAGCAATGATGCAACATTTATTATTTATAAACGATTAGCTCGATAGAGCTACAGGGTAGGTAGATATCAATTCATATATATATCAATGGATGGGTCTATAATGTATTTTGACAGGTTTCTGTTCTATCTGGCTTAAACTTAGCTAACCACGTGTAGGTTTAGCTTCCCCTATCTTCTCTACTCAATTTAAAATTAAAATTAAATTTTTAATTTTCTTTTGTTGCCTGTCTTTAGCTTGGCCTCTTCTGGTAAGACTCTGTTTACTCCTTGCATTAAAACATACTCCACATGGTTTATAGAGCAA